AATTACGACTATTAGTCAATTCAGCACGTCGAATATATCTTAGGGAGCGTTTGGTTAGGAGGTATTTGAGATTACTAGGGTTAAGTTATCTTATATTACTTGATTACCATATTTGATTGTCAAGTAATATAAGATACCGGTAATCTTCAAATATCAATAATAGTTACTATTGGTAATATTTGAGGTAATCTGATTATCTCTATTTTCTTAGGTATTCTAAGATTACCAGAGTTATCTTTTTTTGTTACAATTCTATCCCTTATTAATAAAATTTTAGGATAATAATGCCCTTATTTTTAAATTTATTTACATGAATATAGTTTTTACTATTTTACTCCTAATTAATTAATTTTTTTTGACAAAATTACCCTTGAATTCAAAACAAATTACAACCCACCCAAGCCACCACCCCCAGCCACCTACCGCCAGTACCCACTGTCGCGGCCAGCCGCCGCTACTACCGGAACAACCCACGGAAGGCCGAAAATGGCCATCGTCCGCCGATATGGCCATTTTCGGCTAGATATTTGGTTTAAAATGGCCAGATCGATGGCTGTTAACGACCACGTATGTGGCTGTCAAAGACTATTGATCTAGCTGTTGACTGCCAGATCGACGAGCAATCAATCTGGCCGTTAACGACTAGAGCCGTCGATCTGGCCGTTAACGGCCATCAACCGCTAGATTAATGGATTTGGCCGGAAATGGCCATATCGGCGTACGACAACCATTTTTGGCCTTCCGTGCGTCTTTAGGTTGCTGACTGCCGGCGGCTTGCGATGGTTGCTGGTGGTCGGTAGTGGCTGGGTTGGTGGGGGGTGTTTTGTTGATTTTCCAAACTTTTGTTTTTGCTAAATTTTTAAATGTAGGGGGGGTTATAGTAATCCAAGTAATAATAATATTAAAAAATAATATAATAATAATATTTAATTAGAGGACAATTCAGTAATTTAAGTAACATACCTACCAATTTATTCCTCCCAACCAAACATATTAATATAACATACCCACTAATTAACTAAACACATTTTCCTAAAGATTTCCAGTAATCTTCAATGTAATCTATTTTTCCAGTAATCCAACATTCCTTGAACCAAACGCCTCCTTAGCGTTATACCAAAAGTTTCAGGATAGAATATGTTGTCAGTGAGTCTTTCTCATGAGTTAATCATATTGATGTCTAATAATGCAGATCGGAACTCCATCCTTTTGGGATTCATGTCACCCTCGTCGCCCCGGGAGCTATTAAATCTAACATAGCAAATGTCGCGGCCGACAACTACAATCAGATGCCTGAATTGAAACTATACAAGCCATTTGAAAATATTATCAAGCAGAGAGCATATTTTAAAGAACCACCAAATGCAACCCCTACAGAAATATTTGCAAGGAAGACTGTGGCTGTTTTGTTCAATGACAAGCCCCCAGCTTGGTTTTCTTTCGGTAAGTATTCTACTCTCGTGGAAATATATTCCTGTATGCCAAATTTTGTTAAAGACTTTCTTGCAAGGAGAATGATGAAATGATAAATGACATTATCGAATTCATCTTTTTTTACGTGAAATTTGTACAAGTTTAAACTATATGTCTTTTTTTTTCTTCCTGAAATTATGAATTCGCATATGAAACCTGTATGTTTTACATATGTGAAATATCAATAAATCAATACTTTATAANAACCTATATGGATGAATGAGTTGTTTTGCAAGGGATTGTTTGTTGGATTTTATTAGACTTGTTGGATATGTTGACATCACTGGTCGGGAACGGGGCCCTTGACTGGGTCAAGGCTCAGTCTTAAGTTTTCAGAACATTGAATTTATTAAGAGAAACATTAAGAGCCCAAATGCAAAACCCAATTTGTACCATATTTTATCCGGCTGAAAGACTTACACATAACCAAGTTTGCCTAAACGATAAGTTGATACTCAAAAGGTTTTGAAATAATAAATAGATACCTTCTATCATATACTGTTAGTAATTTTCCTTTGATAATTATAAAAAGACTAAAATACCGTTGAAAGTTTAATATTTTAGATTTTTATAAATTTAAAAATTTTTAAAAAACCCACTAGGTTTACTAATTTGACTAAATACCCCATTATATAAAATTTTTATAAAATAACAAAAACACCCCTACCACCTGCAGTGCCAGATTCTGACCATCACCGTTGGAATCTGGCCGAAAATTGTGTTACAACACAGACCTGTCGGATCTGTGTCATAACGCGTCGATCTAGCCTTTTCTGGCCAGATCCGCAGATCGACGTGTTACGACACAGATCCGATGGGTCTGTGTCGTAACGCGATTTCCCGGCCAGATTCCGACCTCGACGGCCAGATCTGGCCGTAGATCTAGCATTTTCTGGTCAGATCAGCCATAGATCTTATCGAAAAATGCCAGATATACGTGTTACGACACAGATCCGATGGGTCTATATCGTAACGCAATTTTCTGACCATATTTCGACTGTGGTGGCCAGAATCTGGCACTGCGGGTGACGGGGGTGTTTTTGTTCTTTTATAAAATTTTTATATATTGGGGTATTTAGTCAAATTATCAAACCTAGGGGGTTTTTTAAAAATTTTTAAATTTATAAAAAACTAAAATATTAAACTTTCAATGGCATTTTAGTATTTTCACTATTATCAAACGAAAATATTGACAGAACTTGACGGAAGGTACCTATTTATCGTTTCAAAACCTTTTAGGTACTAACTTATCGTTTCGACAAACCTTGGGTATGCGTAAGTCGTTCGGCCTATTTTATCCTAATCTAATTTATTCCACAAATTTTACTACAACTCATCCTATTCCATTTTTTTTCCCCCCAAAAGCCAACATGTGGTTCCGCCACTGTTTACACCATTTAAGGCTTTAACACATCCTTACATGCATATATTTTTATAAGTAGTTTTCAAGCTCAATTAATAAATTATTTAAAGTAAATTTTATTTTAAAGTAGTTGACAGATAAAACCTATTGCGCTTGAATATCATGAAACAACCAACAAATGAGAATGTGACGTATACAAAATAATTTATATAAACATATATGACAATCTTGCATACACTGGTGGATACGCCCAGGAGGGGCCTATGCCCTTCCTCAACTTTTAAAATTTTTCTTTATGTTTTTCATGTATTTAAATTTTTTTAGAGTTCTCTCACAACAATACAAATACATGAACCAAAATATATTCATTTATTTATGTTCCTTTCTAATTTGGGTTGCATTTTAAAAAAGTAATTAAAGTTATATGAAATTATGATTGAGATTTAAGTTATATTATGTGACAAAAGAAAAATTCATGAAAAAATAAACTTTATAATTATCTTATAAACTTGGTTTTATATGAATATAACAATTTCTCATTTTTTTTTTTAATCAAATGAAGTATACGTTAAATATAAGTGTTAAAATATTATGATTAGAATATGTCTTATATAAATATAATCATTCTTAATCATAGATGTATATTTAAATTTTTAACCTAGTCTAATTTCCCATATCGTTTTTAAAATGATCACTATGTTTTAACGAAAATACATAGATATGAATTGGCAATTTTTATTTTATTTTTTAAATTTTTTTCGCCCCTCCTGAACATAATTTTTACCTCCGCCACTACTTGCATACTTGTTACACCATCCACTTTAATTTGCTTTATTCATATTTAATTTTAAGTTGTCTATGCTAAGTTTTATTTGTATTTAATTTAAAGTTATCTGTGTTAAGTTTTATTGATATTTAATACATTAATTGGCTTTATTTATATTTAATTTTAAGGTAGGTGAGGGCTCGACAGTTATTAGTCCAATAAGTCCCCTCACATCAAATATATATATATATATATAGTTTTAATTTTCTTTATCTAGTTTGTATGGGGATAAAAAACTTGAAATCTTTGATTTTGATATTATGTTAAGTTGTCATCTCGCCTGAAAGCTTAAACTACTAGGTAAAGACTCAACATATATTAGACCAATAATCTGATCATATTAAAACACATAAATTTGTATACATTGATTTGTAAACTTTTGAGTTGTTTTTTCATATATGAACTTTTAGCTCCTAATAATAATAATAATAATAATAATAATAATAATAAAGTAATGATACACATAAAAACTATTAGTAATCCTGTATATTTGATATGCTATCTCCTTTAATTTAAACCATTAATTACGACTTTCTCTGTAATTAATTATCTTTGATTATAATACTTCTTAAACCATTTTTAAGTTATACGTGATTAATGTATTAAATGCATTTACACCGTTTAAGGCTTTAACACGTGCTCACATGCATATAAATGTTATAAGTTTAGTTAATAAATTTAACACAATCTTTAAGTTATATGTGATTAATGTATTAAAGCATTTAAGGCGTTAACACATGCATACAAAATTTTAAGTCATCTCATCGTATTTGAAAACATTATTTTGTATGAATAAATTTGTAGACCGTTTAAATTGTTTTTTCATATTTGAACTTTCGATTCCTAATAAAAAAAAAGTAATGTTACATATAAAAAACTATCCATATAAACTATTTCATACAATCTGATTTGACAATCTTATATATTTGATATACCATTTCCTTTAATTTAAACTATTAATTTCAACTTTCTTTGTGATTAATTACATTATGTTAGTTGTATGTCTATTCAATAAACACTTTATTACCAATATGTTCATGAAAATAACATAAACTAGGAGGGTGGGCACACCTTCAATGGCACGGTATTTCAAATAAAATAAACCTGTAGGGCACACCTTCAATGGCACAATATTTAAATCTGACACTCGAAACTCATCTTCATCGATCATTTCTTAAATATAAAGAGAAAATCTCATTTTAATGGAAGATCAGAAGCCAATTGTGTTGATCACAGGCTGTTCTCAGAGAGGAATCTACCCTGAGAATGCAGCCTTTAGAAGCGTTGGCCCTCCAGCGTTGTTCACCAAAATATCAATTCTTCCAAACTTTTCAATAACATTTGCCACAACATTCTCCACACTTTCATCTGAAGTTTGGAAGAATTGATATTTTGGTAAACAACCCTGGAGTCCTTTGCATTGGCCCTCTTGCTGAGCTTCCATTATCAGCTATCCAGAATGCATTCGACGTCAACGTTTTTGGTGCTTATAATATATGATTTCTTTGAATTTTCTGTTCATTATCTATATTTGTAGCTTTTTTTGGGGTTTTACTTCGCCGATCTTCTACACGACTTATCCTTCCACAGGTCATCCGTTTGCAATGAGGGCTCTCCCGCATGGTGCCTATATATGTTGAGATCACTATGATATCACTATAAAATAGATTTCAACTTTGAAAATCAATCACTATACTTGTTTTTACTATAACGAGGATTCGTCATATGATAGAGAAATCAAACCCACAGGAAAATGTGTCTATGCTTATAATTGATAATTTGATACCATGATCAGAGGTCTGTGATTGTGAGAGAGATTGGAAAAATGGAATTGGGTGTTTAGTTAATTGAATTTAGGGTTTTAATTTTTTTAAAATAAAATGCGGGTACCCACGGGCATTACTCGGCCCACCCACATTTTTTACGGACGGGTCAGGTGCGGGTAATATTTATACGGGTAAATTTTAGAGGTACTCGTACCCGCCCGTTTAATGCAGGTATGGGTACATTTTTGCCAAGTCTAATATATATATATATATATATATATATATCAAATTTTTTCTTTTATGTTTTTATCATTCATCAATTATTATCATTAATAATTTATTTATTTAATTTGAAGATAAATTGTAAATGCATATAAAAAACATTTTTCATGGTATTTAAAATTACTTTTGATATATAGTACTAAAAGATCTTTCCAACATATATACCTATGATAATGATGCTTCTCCTATGCTTTCTTTTTTCTTTTTAGTTTTTCCCCTTAAGGTTTGAAGAAAATCAAACACACCCAAAGATTCTGGATAATAAAAATGCACCCAAACTTTTTATTCAACATTTTGGGTGCACTTGTTATTATCCAAAATTCTTGGATGTGTTGTATTTTCCTCTAACTTTGAGGAGAAAATTGTCGAATACCCAGCAGTAGATGTTGAAGGATTTATGCCATTGCCTTCGCGTATCTGGATTAGGTAATTTAGGAGGTGTTGTTTTCATTGGATGTCCCTCGGCCATCCATGTACTAATTAAAGATGATTGAGAAATACGACAGTCTCGTTTTCGAAAACAATGAGACTGTCTAATAATTTAATTAGGAGTGGGCAAAAAAATAGGATAGAATTGGAACCGATGAGTACCTGGGTTTCGGTTTTGGTTTCTATACAGAACCAACTGCCACAGGGTCGGTTCCGGCTCCAAAAACCTGGAACCAACACTGTCCACTGCCAGTTCCGGTTTCATCCATGTAGGAACCGAGAATGGGAACCAGAACCGAAACAAACAGAAGAAGAAAAGACAGAAAAGAAAGCGCCGCAGGGACCAAGCATGAAAGATTGACTGAAAATGAAATCAAACATCTCAAACCAAATCACACTAACAGTACCAAAAATCCAGATCTCTTAATCTCGAACCAAATCAAAAAGAAAAAAAAAAAAAAATCAAATCAAGCATACAACCTGCAGAGAAATTATAATCCCAAATACATTCAAACCAGCAAAATCAACTTGCAAACATATGCACCCAAATACATCAAAGCCAGCAAAATCAATCATACAACCTGAGAAAAAAAAGTATTTTATGTACTTTTAATTTTAGGGAAAAGGCAAAGTGAAGAGAGAGGGAGCCGGCCGATCTACGTGTTTCAGGAGACAAAGAATGAGGAGGAAGCGTTGGAGGTGTTTGAGACGGTGGTGGTGATGAGGTAAATGTAAGGGATGGTACGTGTTTGGATAAAGATGGTAAAGAGCTAAAGCATTTGTAAATTAAAACAATTCATTCAAAAATTAAATATGAATGCTAATTAATAGTCAAGAAATTAAAAAGAAAAATAAAATTTTGAAAAACAAACAATTTTCTTGAATTTCAACAACTGATTTGACTATGCCTCCGTGTCTATTATCTACAACAACTTCGTGTGAGTAAATGTTAAATATAGCAGATTTTTAGATTCATATGGTTAATTTATGGTAAAAATGAGGAACCCATATTTGCATTAATATGTTTGTTTCAGTGGTCGCTTCAACCAAATTTTAATTATTATTTTTTTACTGTTGCTTTGTTTAGCATTTGGTGTTCCCCATCTGATATTAATTTGAAGTTCACTGATGAAATATATAGGTGCCATGAGAATGATTCAAGCTGTTGTTCCCCACATGGCAGCTAGGAAAAAGGGGAAGATTGTAAACATTGGAAGTATTGGTGCTGTTAGCTCTGCACCATGGACTTCTGTTTACTGTGCATCTAAATCTTCTCTTCATTCACTCACTGATACCTTGAGGTAAGTATATATATCACCTCTATTGTCCTAAAATTGATGAAAAATAATCCGTTTACTATTCTTAATTACGGCTATTAGTCAATTCAGCACGTTGAATATCTCTTAGGGGGCGTTTGGTTAGGAGGTATTTGAGATTACTGGGCTTAAGTCATCTTATATTATTTGATTACCATATTTGGTTGTCAAGTAATATAAGATACCGGTAATCTTTAAATACTAATAATGGTTACTATTGGTAATATTTGAGATAATCTGATTACCTCTATTTTCTTTGGTATTCTAAGATTATCAGGGTTATCTTTTTTTGTTATAATTTTATTCCTTATTAATAAAATTTTAGGACAATAATGCTCTTATTTTTAAATTTATTTACATGAATATGGTTTTTACTATTTCACCACCAATTAATTAATTTTTTTGACAAAATTACACTTGAATTCAAAACAAATTACAGCCCACCCAAGCCACCACCCCCATCCACCTGCTGCCACCGAACGGCGCACGGAAGGCCAAAAATGGCCGCCATCCGCCGATATGGCCATTTTCGGCCAGATATCTGGCCGTAAATGGCCAGATCGATGGCTATTAATGGCCACATCTGTGGCCGTCAGCGACCATTGATCTGGCCGTTGACTGTCAGATCGACGACCAGATCAACAGATATGGTCGAAAATGGCCATATCGGTGTACGGCGGCCATTTTTGGCCTTCCGTGCACCGTTAGGTTGCCGACTACAGGTGGCCTGCGGTGGTTACCAGCGGTCAACAATGGTTGGGTTGGTGGGGGGTGTTTTGTTGGTTTTCCAAACTTTTATTATAGGGTTGTTTTTGCTAAGTTTTGAAATTTAGGGGGTTATAGAATCCAATTAATAATAATATTAAAAAATAATATAATAATAATATTTAATTAGAGGACAATTCAGTAAATTAAATAACATATCCACAAATTTATTCTTCCCAACCAAACATATTAATATAACATACCCATCAATTAACCAAACACATTTTCCTAAAGATTCTCAGTAATATTCAAGGTAATCTATCTTTCTAATAATTCAACATTCCCTGAACCAAACGCCCCCTTAGCGTTATACAAAAAGTTTCAGGATAGAATATGTTGTCACAGAGTCTTTCTCATGAGTGAATCATATTGATGTCTAATAATGCAGATCAGAACTCCATCCTTTTGGTATTCATGTCACCCTCGTCGCCCCGGGAGCTATTAAGTCTAACGTAGCAAATGTCGCGGCCAGCAACTACAGTCGGATGCCTGAATTGAAAATATTATCAAGGAGAGAGCATATTTTAAAGAACCACCAAATGCAACCCCTACAGAAATATTTGCAAGGAAGACTGTGGCTGTTTTGTTCAAGGACAAGCCCCCAACTTGGTTTTCTTCCGGTAAGTACTCTACTCTCGTGGAAATATATTCCTGTATGCCAAATTTTGTTAAAAGACTTTCTTGCAAGGAGAATGATGAAATGATAAATGACATATCGAGTTCATCTTTTTTATCTGAAATTTATATAAGTTTAAACGATATGTTTTTTTTTTTTTTTCTCCGAAACTATGAATTCGCATATGAAACCTGTATGTTTTACATATCCAGTGAGAAACTAGAGAAGATTTTAGATGAGCCACAGTGTCTTCAAGAAAGTAACTAAAGGGTCCAATTTCAGTTCCATCAAGTAGCTTAAAGTTCAACTGTATGGAGTCCAATTTTATCCAGCAACAACTGAACATCTCCAATCTCCAATTTCAGTCTAGAAGGTGACTTTTCTTTTATTGTTTTTTTTTTTTTCCGGAAAAATTGATTTTTCTTGGCAAAATTAATCAAGTTTTGAGGTGGTTAGAGCCAATGCAATTTGGTTAGTTTTCGATCTTATTCAATGGTCAGCTCAATGCAATTTGGTTAGTTTTCGATCTTATTCAATGGTCAGCTGAAAAATTGACCTGAAAATTCAAAGGAAAAAAATGAATTTAAATAATGTTCTAGAACTTTTTAACTAAGATACGATTTTCCTACCAAACTCTAATTAAAGTTAGTTAATAATTTTTTTTATTATTATTATTATTTTTAATGATTGGGGGTGTTCAAACTAGTTTACTCACACCTCAATTAATCCTCTGGAACCCTGAAATCACTGACCGGATGAAAGCTCCAGTGACTACCTCTATTAACACCAAAGAAGAGATCCGAACTCAAGACCTCTTGTATAATATACCTAAAAGTCTCTATCGAACCGCTCGACCACCCAAAGGTAGTTAAGTTAATTAATAATTTCTTGGGTGCTAAGAAAGAATCCAATTGATTTTCCACCAAACTCTATTATTGAATTAATATCAATTCAAGTTGGTCCCTATGAAGGAAAAAATGGAATGATTAATTAATAAAAATGGAATGAAGGGCATTTATGAAATTTACTGGGTGCCGTGAGAAAAAAAAAAAAAAAATTTTTTAAGGTATTTAAGGGATTGAGACTTCTTTAATTAGGAGGGTCAATAGTTCGGCTAAAAAATAAAGGGAAATGATTTTTTGCCCTCACCATTTTTTTCTTTAACCCTCATCTTCTACTTTAAGTGAGGATATAGTTGTCAAAGAAAGAAAAAATATCCTTCGTCTATACTTTTGTTTCAAAGCTTTATAGATGCAATTACCAAAAAATTTAAAGAAATTTAGATAAATCAAAATGCATAATTTCAAAAGTAGATTAAAGCCCATGGTGGCTATCAAATTTACTTGATCTTCTTTTGGAGATTTTTTTATTAGTTTTTTTCTTCCTTTTCTTCTTCTTATTAATCTTTTTTTTTTTTTTTTTTCTTTTCAAGTTTTGTATTTTGGAAAACTTTTATGAATTACATGTTTAAATGAAAAAACGATTATATAACCAAGAAATTACTAAAACTTAAATCAAACAAGGTGTTTATGTTAGTTTTTTAAAGTGTTTTTACAGTTGATAACTTTATGAAAATAGGAGACATTAAAAGATTAAAGATCTTGTGTAAAATAATGAATACATTTATAAATCCTCCCTAAAACTTTTAAATGTTTAAAAACCGTGGTTAATAATATATTTAAATACTATTATATGTATACTATCTAAGATAAAAGACGGAGGCTTAAAAAAAAAAAAATTGGGCTAAACATTACTTGCCTAACTAAAGGGTAGTGATCTTTACACCCCACTTATTGACTATTAGTCTCCATTTAAAACATGAAATTGAAAAAAAAATATAAAAAAATAAAATAAAAGAGTTGCACAAAAAACAAATTACCCATATCTCTTTTTCATGACCATCGGTTTCCCGTAGCAGGGATGTAGCCACACTAAAGGGTAGTGATCTTTACACCCTACTTATTGACTATTAGTCCCCATTTCAAACATAAGAATGAAAAAAAATAAAAGAGTTGCACAAAAAACCATTTACACAGATCTCTTTTTCATGACCATCAATTTCCCTTAGTAGCAGGGACGGAGCCATACTAAAGGGTAGTGATCTTTGCACCTTGCTTATTGACTATTAGTCCCCATTTAAAACATAAAATTGAAAAAAAACAACAACAATAAAAGAGTTGCACAAAAAACCATTTACTTAGATCTCTTTTTCATGACCATCGGTTTCCTTAGTAGTAGGGACGTAACCACACTAAAGGGTAGTGATCTTCACACCCCACTTATTGACTATTAGTTCCCATTTAAAACATAAAATTGAAAAAAAATAACAAAAATAAAAGAGTTGCACAAAAAACCATTTACCCAGATCTCTTTTTCATGACCATCGATTTCCCCTAGTAGTAGGGACGTAGCCACACTAAAGAGTAGTGATCTTTACACCTAGCTTATTGACTATAATTAGTCCCCATTTAAAACATAAAATTGAAAAAAAATAACAAAAATAAAAGAGTTCCACCAAAAATCATATACCCAGATCTCTTTTTAATGACCATCGATTTCTCTTAGTAGCAAGGACATAGCCACACTAAAGGGTAATGTTCTTTACACCCCACTTATTGACTATTAGTCCCCATTTAAAACATAAAATTGAAAAAAAAATAACAAAAATAAAAGAGTTGCACCAGAAACTATTTACCTAGATCTCTTTTTCATGACCATTAATTTCCCCTAGTAGTAGGGACGTAGCCACACTAAAAAGTAGTGATCTTTACACCTAGCTTATTGACTATTAGTCCTCATTTAAAACATAAAATTGAAAAAAAATAACAAAATAAAAGAGTTGCACAAAAAATCATTTACCCAGATCTCTTTTTAATGACCATCGATTTCCCCTAGTAGCAAGGACGTAGCCACACTAAAGGGTAGTGTTCTTTACACCCCACTTATTGACTATTAGTCCCCATTCAAAACATAAAATTGAAAAAAAATAACAAAAATAAAGAGTTGCACAAAAAACTATTTACCCAAATCTCTTTTTCATAACCATCGATTTCCCCTATTAGTAGGACGTAGCCACACTAAAGAGTAGTGATCTTTACACCCAGCTTATTGACTATTAGTTCCCATTTAAAGCATAAAATTGAAAAAAAAATAACAAAAATAAAAGAGTTGCAAATAAATTCATTTACCCAGATCTCTCTTTAATGACCATCGATGTCCCCTAGTAGTAAGGACGTAGCCACACTAAAGGGTAGTGTTCTTTACACCCCACTTATTGACTATTAGTCCCCATTTAAAACATAAAATTGAAAAAAAATAACAAAAATAAAAGAGTTGCAGAAAAAACCATTTATCCAAATCTCTTTTTCATGACCATCGGTTTCCCCTGGTAGTAGGGACGTAGCCACACTAAAGAGTAGGGATCTTTACACTCCACTTATTGACTATTAGTGCCCCTTTAAAACATAAAATTGAAAAAAAATAACAAAAATAAAACAGTTACACAAAAAACCATTTACCCAGATCTCTTGTTCATGACCACCAGTTTCCCCTAGTAGTAGGGATGTAACCACACTATAACATATGAGTTCATTTGAACCCACTT